CTTAGACTTAAGCTTAGGCCAGCCATAGGCTTGGCTTAGACTCAGGCTTCGGCTTAGGTTTACCTTTCCTTTTACCTTTTTTTCCTCCATTCTAATTTAATTTTCATTTCCAGTTGATCCAGTTTCTGAAGACGCCAAAAGCGTGGATCAAAACCATCTCAGACGCGATCGGATCCACAAGAAGATCCACGAGGTCCTGAAGAAGTACGGCGACCGGCCGGTGCCGCCTGCCCACGCCGAACTGTGCCCGGACGACGTCAGTCACCGCTACTATCTATATAGTAGCATTAATTTTTTTCATTTTTTCTGTGTTTTTGTGTGTGTATTACTGTCTCTACAGTGTATTTTTTCCTTGAATAAATATGGATGAAGGATCCGCACGAATTTAGAAAAAGACCTAAGCCCCATGCCTAGGCTAAGCCTGAGCTTAAGCTTAAGCCTAATCACCGTATAGCCTAAGCCTAAGCCTAACCTGAAGCCTAAGCCTAAGCCTAATCACCGTAAGCCTAAGCCTAAGCCTAACCTGAAGCCTAAGCCTAAGCCTAATCACCGTAAGCCCTAGTTCAGGCTAACCTGAAGCCCTAAGCCTAAGCCTAATCACCGTAAGCCTAAGCCTAAGCCTAACCTGAAGCCTAAGCCTAAGCCTAATCACCGTAATCCTAAGCCTAAGCTAACCTGAAGCCTCAGCCCTACAGCCTAATCACCATAAGCCTAAGCCTAAGCCTAACCTGAAACCTAAGCCTCGCCTAATCACCAGTAGCCTAAGCCTAAGCTAACTTGGAAGCCCCAAGCCTACGCCTAAGTATCCGGATCAGGGTCCTCGACAGTTAGCAGGAGGGAGTCTAGGCGGGAGAAAAAAATTTTTCCAGTTGTTCCTGAATCAACCTGAAAACAAATTTTATAGCATTTACGAGGTTTTGGATAGAAAAACAACATAAAAAATTATGCAAATTTACGCATTTTTTTTAGAATGTAAATGTTCTTCTTACTGGACGATCTATGGTTTCAACTGCAAGAATTTCAAATTTTTTAGAATTCAACATATCGAAACATTGTCGACTATATGGTCGATTAAAGATTATGCAAAAAAAATCTCGAAAAAGGTGGAATTTTCAAAGATTCAAAAATTAAAAATCTCTGGTAAATAAATACCGGGAAAAATACAAAATATATTAGTCACGGGGTAGCAATGTTAGGTGGGAAAAAGAAAAATCAGCTTTTGCCCAAACCCCCCCGCTAACATCCAAGTACCGATCAAAAACCTGAAGCGGAAGACATTAAAAATCCGGCGCGGCAAATTTGCTGAACTCAGAGCCAGCAGCTCGTAAACAAATTGCAAAAATGCAGTTCCACCTCTTTGATCACGTCTCAATGTACGATTCTTCTGAAAAAAGCCCTGATTCAGGGTTTCAGGGTCGGCAGTTCCCATTTTTGAACTACCTGTCTCCCGAACTGGCATCAAACTATCAAAAATGCGCCCGGCAGCTCGGCGGTATCCTCTGTCTTCGCTGGCCTTTTTCAAGGAGAAAAAGTGAGCTCCCCCCGCCGTGGTTTCACAGACTTGAGTTGGTGCCAATCTCGGGATAAGATTGCCGGAAAGTGCACCTAAAACGGGTCGCTTTCTCAATTTTTACTCACCAATCGGGTTGTATAAAAGACGGCGCTTTAGCGAGCAAAATATCAACTTTCCAAAAGTCGACCAAAACAACGATGAACGTCTTCGCCCCCCTGATCGCCATCTTCGCCATCCTCGCCCTGGCTGCTGGTGGGTTACGGTAGTTTTACAAGTTTTACAAGTTGAATGGTTGCTCTTGAATGCGCAAAACTTATAAGAAAACTAACTTAAAAATTGTCAATACAAAAAATATAGATCTAAAAATCTTAGCTGTTTAGTTTGCAGGAAAATCCCAAATTTTCGATGAAAATTTTTCTTATCCAATACGTCGTTCTCCCTCTCTCCCTTACTCTCACCCGCTCTCTCTATCGCTCTTGCTCTATCGCTTTTTCTTTCTCTAGCTTTCCCTTTCTCGCATTCCCTCTCTCTCTCTCTCTCTCTCTCTCTCTCTCTCTCTCTCTCTCTCTCCACTTTCTCTCTCTGTCTCCCTCACTCTTTCTATATATCTCTCTTGCTCTCTCGCCTTCTCTTTCTTTCGCTTTCGGTTTTTCTCGCCTCTCACTCTCTCTTTCTCTCTCACTCTCTCTCACTCTCTCTCTCTCTTTCTTTCTCTCATGCTTTTTCTACCACCTGTCTCGCTATCGCTAACCTCGTGATCCAAAAACTAGTAAAAATAGAGGGGAAAACGGGAAAAATAAGGTGAGAATCTTCGAGATTACTAAGGACCGTTGAAGTCAAATCCATCATTTTTAGCTACCACCGTATATTAGTGCGTCTCTTGATAACCCTGGCATTTCAGCCGGCCCCCACCACGATAACCATCACAACGACCACCACGACAACCACCACAACGACCATCACGACAACCACCACGGAGGGTATGCTTTTCCTTATGATATTTTTAATAGGCAGCTAATTTTGTCGGTTATTCCAGTATTATATGTTTATTTTAATTGCTTGTTTCAGCCCCTTCCACGGCTAAGCATCTTGTGCTCAACGCGATGCATATCACAAACAAAAACTTTGAATACCGCTCTCTATCCCGAAATTCTGTATCCCGAAACGCCCAATCCCGAAATTCTGTATCCCGAAACTCCCAATCCCGAAACTCTCTATCCCGAAAATTCTCTATCCCGAAAACTCTTTATCCCGAAAACTCTCTATCCCGAAAACTCTCTATCCCGAAACTCAGTATTTTGCGTTTCCTAACGCCCTACATTCTTGTAGGCATCGGAAAATCATTTTATCATATTTCCGAAACCGAAAAATAGCGGAAAACTATTTACTTCAAAGATCTAGTCTGGTGTTCGGTACGTTAAAGCTAGCTAACTTGTTTCGGGATATGGAGTTTCGGGATAGAGAGTTTTCGGGACTAAAGAGTTTTCGGGATAGAGAGTTTTCGGATAGAGAGTTTCGGGACACAGAACCTCGGGATATAGAATTTCGGGATACAGAATTTCGGGATAGGGGAAATACCCCAAAAACTTTAAACTGCCACAACATTCCGGTATCGATAAAGTTTCTACGGGCTATGTTTGACCTGGACAAGTAAAAAACATGCGTTTCAACTCTTTGTAACTAAATTTTGGTGTCCTCCGATTAAATGCTAAGGTTCAAACCTTGCCCCGGTTTTAGTAGAAATTCAGAAGCTAGCACACGCGCATAGGCGCATTTTGTAGCTCCCGAAACTCGATATACATAGGAGCAGGAGCCGATGGTCGAACTCTCGATTCCCTTTAGTTTTTACAAAATAAACACCTAATTTGTCGATTTTTGTGAACTTCGGATGTATTTGCTTTGCTGGTTCATAGCTAGAAAATCAGAACAGCTACACAAAACCCAAAGTTCACAGCTCGGCCTCCTATTCCAGAGGTTGTTTTTCTGACTGTTTGCCAAGTCAAAGTGTTTGAAAGCTATTACGAAGGTAGGAGAATACATTCGAGCTAGGGAGGTAGGAAGAGTGACGTCGCGCGAGAGAGAGAGCGAGAGAGCAACAGAGAAAGGAAGCTGGAAAAAGAGACAGACCACAGACAGGAGGATCAACTCGATGGCGAGAGAAAAGGATTAGGTTTTTTGTTTTTCTTTTCCCATTGATTCGATGCGTGAGAATAGCTCAATTTATGGCAGTTCAAATACGTTCAGATCATTTTATTTTCCGGTTTTTATTTGATGTTGAAACAGATCTACTTGCGTCCCCAAGGTCCACGACGAGGAGGGGGAGGAGGGGGATGGAAGCGCCTGAAAAGTAAATTATACTAAATTTGATCAGTCAAAGACGCCGGACTACAATCTACAAAAACGGATAATTTAAGTCATAAGCTCTACGTAAAATACTTACTCGCGGCTGTGACCCCCACGTCCACCATGGCGACGACGCTCCGACGATGAGGAGTGCGAGTGACGCCCAGCTTTAAAGGGCCATTGAATTTTGAAAACCTATAACCCTACCGCTAGCCAACGCCGCCAGGGCAACGAGGACCAATATCAAAATACCAAAAAGATTCATGATTTCTTGTTGATGCTGTTCCTTCGATTCCGCCTTATATACCCCGATCTTTCGCACCTGCGCCAATACAGAGTGGAGAAAATCGAGAGAGCGCCGGCCTTGGGATGATCAGCGCCACTTTTTCGCACTTTCAATCGGCAAGTCTTGGTCAACAAGATGCAAAAAGACTTTGGAAATCTTGAATTTAGCCCCTTTCTACTCACCCGATCAATCTCGTTCCACTATAAACGATTTTGTGGCTGATGAAATGAGGAAATGGGTTTCGATATTGCTTAGAATTTGGAAAGGAGAGAGAGAGGAAGAGGAGAGAGAGAGAGAGAGAGGGAGAGAGAGAGAGAGAGAGAGAGGAGAGAGAGAGAGAGCGCGGAGAGAGAGTGAGAGATATAGAGAGGAGGAAATGAGAGAGATAGCGGAGAGAGAGAGAGAGAGAGAGAGAGAGAGAGAGAGCAGCAAGGGAGAGAGAGTGAGAGATATAGAGAGGGAGCAGAAATAGAGAGAGATAGTGAGAGAGCGACAGAGAGAGAGACAGAGAGAGAGAGGGAGAGAGATAATGAGAGAGCGACAGAGAGAGAGAGGCAAAAAGAGCCAAAAGTAGAGTGTGCAAGCAAAAATTACCGAAAACTGCCGATGACATCGAAAAATTTTAATGCATGTTTGATGATTCTTTTCGTTTTCTTTGACGCCAATATCGAGTTACAAAATTTCATTTCCGGTAAGTATAGAAACTCGTCAAAAGTACGTTGTTTACGAGAAACAATAACGACGGCTCGGCATGTGCAAAAAACTGGATGTTGACACCAAAAAAGGGTTGGCCAAAGAGTGGGCCTGAAGTCAGCGATTTTCAGTGGCCTTTAGTCGAAGTTTGGCGAGCAATCAAGGGGAGTTGGGTGCAAGGTGGTAGTGACGACTAAAGCTCAAGGTATCTTTTTCTAATTAGCAATTAATTAGGTTGTAGCCTCTCATAAGCGATAGCGCAAAAGTTTTCGAAACATACCATTAAAAAATGCCTACCACCGCCAAAGTCTGGCCGTCATTAGTCAACATCGTGGCCTGTTCGTTAGCTCAAATGACCCAAAGACAAACCCATCCCTCTCCATCGCGCTCAAAAACACCCCGGAAAGTCCAAAGCACACCCTCAGCCATCAAGGCATTGGCCGAATCTTGCCGCCCCAATGGCTCACACTTTAGCAAACGAATGGAGCAGAGGTGCCTTACCTTGCTGTATAAAAAGGGAGATTTTTTAAATTACCTCAAGCGATTTGCCTTACATCGAATCAGCATGAAGTTCCTAGCCCTGCTGTTTGTCTTCTGCGCCTTGGTGTCCTGCTTCTTGGCCCAAGGTATGTATTTATTACATTTCTGGGTACTTTAAAAAAATTGTCCTTCGATAGAGAAAGAATGAGGGAGAGAGAGAGAGAGCGCGCGCAGAGCGAGAGGGAGAGAGAAGGAGAAAGCGAGGGTAAGGAAGGTCCCGCGGCGCGTCAAAAAACATGATTTTTTTAAGCCGGAATTTGACTCAACACTATTTTTATACTTCTAAGTTGAGATATGCTGAGCCGCCACTTGGCTTCCCGTTTCCAATATTCTCATTTTTGTCAGCTCATCCTCATCCTCATCCTGCTGCGATTTCGGGACCGGCGCACCTTGGACCCACTCATCATGGAGCTGCCCCACTAAAGGGACCGCGCGGTGAACATCACCATAAGCCAACACCTTCTCATCATGCTCATGCTGCTGAGCATAAGGGGTAGGTGGAAGTGGTACTCTATAAAACGCGAAAGGCATATCGGAAAGCCTTCAAATTAGGCCTTCCATATCGCCCTGACTGTAACCCTCTTATGTTGACCGTGGGATTTCGTTATGCGAGATAGCACATCTTGTGCAGAATTTTTCGCTGATTCCGAATCCGTTTTCAAAAGTTGCGGAACCCCTCGGAAAAAAGACTGAGGGCTGACGGCTTCCGCAAAAACTGATCACCCCAAAGATTATTTCCAGGGCCCGCCACCACCGCGGCTGAGCTAATCCAGTACTCGTCGGCCAAGTCAAGCTGTAAGTAACGTATCCTTAAGTATTCCCAATATCGAGAGCTATGTGTAAATAAATATCTACCGCTCGGGACACTAAAAACAGCATTAGAGTGTACACCTGATTCACCCGAGAACGAGAATGCAATTTTGGAGGGACGAGCTGTATGACTGGCTTGATCAGCTTAGCCCGGCTTGCCGACTTTGGACTCCGATAAAAAAACCGAGCCCCTGACGACCCTTTTTGACCCCCGGCAAAACACTGATGAATGACCAGCAGCCAATTTCGGCATAATGGCGCCGATCTGGGCGGTATCATAAACAGGCATATCAGATTTCCGGTGACTAGGCGTGGCGAGAGACACGACCGTAATGGAGAGCGAGGCAGAGAGAGAGACAGAGACAGTGTTAGAGAGAGAAAGCGAAAGAGAGAGACAGAAATAGAGAGCGAGAGAGAGCGATAGAGAGATAGAGAGAGACAGGAGACAGGATACAGAGGAGAGTGAAAAGGAAAATAGAGAGGGAAAGAGACAGAGATAGAGCGGAAGATAGAGACAGAGAGAAAGAAAGACAGGTGGGATTGAGAGAGAGAGTGGAAGAGTGAGAGAGAGAGAGCAGGGAAGAGAGTGAGAGAGAGAGAGACAGTGAGAGAAAGATAACGACAGACACGTCGAGCCCTCAGGTGCTGCCAAGAGATCAACAAATCACGCGACTAGATTTGGGCGCTGATCATGGGATTCTGGGTATCACCGTCTGCCCCCCTCCTCGGCTTATATAAACGTGCCTCCAGGGCATTTCCACAACCACAACGCTTTACCCCCGACTTAGGATGAACTTTATTCAGCTGATCTGCGTCTTTTTTGCCGTCCTCGCCGGTCTTATGGTGCAGGGTGAGTCATGTTTTCTGGCTAGCTATCAATTGAAACTTTTTCGTAGCTAGACGCTTGAGATACGATCCCAGTACCGTAATTTTGGGAGTTATCAGAACCGCTATTTCGTCCAGAAAAATTTGTCAAAGAATTTGTCGATAAAATCATAAATGTAGGTTTTATGGTATTCGCGAAAATGATTTTGTCTCACAACTAAAATTTGATCAGTTTAGGACCGGCTATCCAAAAATGAATTTATCTGACAAAGGAAAATTTTGTGCATTCTACGCTGGCCACAAAGCAAGATTTATCGGCCGATTTTATTTAACGGAATTCACTTTATCGATTCTAAGTAGATTTTGGCATTGGTTCTCACGATTTAAAAATACTGCTTTGTTATGAAGTTATTAAACTGCCTTGAATTCTTTTTTAGCCGCCCCTAACCACCACCACGGCGGTCACCACAACGGCCCGGTCATCCATCTGCCCAACATTTTCGGCCATAACCACCACGGTGGACATCACGGAGACGGACATCACCACGGAGGACATCACCACGGGTGAGCGGGCGCGAAAAACACCTGGCTAACGCATAATTTTAATGAATAATTTTGAACTTTAATAAATTTTATTATAAATATAAATATCAAAAATAAATAAATAAAATAAATTGAAAAACACGACTTGGATCATCCTCTCAAACGCACATTACTGAAGATGAAAATTGGATCAAAACTTAGAAACGCTTATAAAAACGTCTTAAACGACCTAAAAGCACGATTTTACAAGTTGCGGCAAGCAAACAATTCTTGAAAGCTTTTTAAAAACCTTGAACCCGTAAACCTTCCTATCCCGTTTTTTAGAAAAATCAAATAGCTGCTGAATAGCGATAGAAGCTAGAAACTTGCTTAAAAATTGATTTTCTAAACTTAAACCCCAAACAAAAAACATTGAACACCAAAAGAAAGCCAGGAGGCGCTAACTCTTTGAATATCATTTTTTCGCTTCACCATTCCTTTAATTAACTTCCTTCCCATTTTAGGCATGGCGACGGTCACGGGTACGGTCACGGACACGGATACGGACATGGATACGGGCATCACGGCTAAACGCGCTTGCTTCGTTCTTTCTTCCGACATGAGTGATTTTCCACCCTGCCCCCATAATACGAAAATGCATTTATTTAGAATCCTGGTGCTCAATAAATTTATTGCAATTTTTGAGCTTCAGCTCCATCATTATCATCATCCACTTTTGCACAGTAATACCCAGGCTTGCTCGGATTTGGTTGTTTCGCGTAGACGTGACAGCATGGACCACGGCCATCCGTGCCCTGTCGGATTTTGCCTGGGATTTTGGCCTGCTCAGATTCTGGTCGTCGGGAATTGTCTTGTCGGGATTATTCTTTCGGTATTATGGCTGGATTAGACTCTACTACCTACCATAACGCTCCTCAACGTGTAGCAGGCGATCGGGAACGTAAATAACGCGACTGTCAGCAGGATCATGTTAAAAGCGTAGCAAAAATAGACCCAGGCCGGAAATTCTTCCTCTTGCAACGCCGTTGCGTTCAGGAAAACGAATATCGTGTAGCCGGAGGAGAGGTACATTTTGTACGTAGTACGATCGCGTACTGAATGTATTGTTACGTAGCAAAATAGCTGAAACAACCCAGAATACGAAAATAATAGTTTTTCGAGGACTGTAGCTTAAGCGGTATTGGCGGAGAGTACGGTGGCGTCACTCAGCTAGACCAGAATCGAGGAATATGGTTCTGTATAGTCGAAGACGAGTGGCGTAACGTAGCGTCGTGTAGCGTAACGTAGCGCAGCGCAACGTAACGTTGCTTAGAGTATGTAGTGCAAATTGCCTAGAGCAGTTTGGCGTAACGTTTCTTCGAGTTGCTTAGCGTAACGCAGCGTATCGTAGCGTAGTGCCACGTAGCGCAACGTAGCGCATAGACGCGCATCAAATCCGAAATAAAGACGATTTATTTTGCTGTTGTAGCGTCCCGTAGCGATTCGGACGGTGAGGAAAATCACGTCGTATCCTGGATTGATGTGTACTGGAACGTATTCTAGCGTATGGTAGACAATAGAGGCCTTTCTTGGGATTTTTTGTGTTTCTGGAGGTAGGAAGTGACGGATGTACGGTAATGCCCGGAATTTGCTGCAGAATTTGAGACAAAAAGTGCACACGGCTAGCCGCCCAAAAATTTGTAGCCTAGCGTCTAGATGCCGAAATTTCAAGCCAAACTGCCTCCCTCAATTATAATTACCGTCCGGGACTTGAGGCCCACTTATTGGCGAGGGGGAGAAGCGGAAAAATCGGCGGGCTCGTAACCAGCCCGAATAACGTGTTTCAGCGGCGATCATCTATTATTCATTCCGCCGGTAGCGGAATCAGGCCCTTCGCGCGGCTTTTTCCTATTGGGTCCGATTGTGGCGAAGGTTAGAGCGGAGGCCATGGGGGCCCTGGGGCAACACTAATTACAAAAATTGCTCGCTGGCGACGATGTGCCTGATTCTTGTTTTTGGGAACAGTGGACGAAGCGGTGATCTTTGGCGCAAAGGCTTTTAGCGTAGCGCTCGAAAGCGGAGTGAGACAGAGACAAAAACATAGAGAGAGAGAGAGAGAGAGAGCGAGAGGGAGGGAGAGGGAGGGAAAGAGAGGGAGAGAGAGGTAACTTATGCCACCAAAGCGTAGTGCGCACGTTACCCGGGTCGCAAAATTTCGAAGTGCAGAGCCACCTGGATCGGATCAGCAAGCTCCATGGAGATCAAATCTCATCTAAGGTTTGCAAAAATTACGCTATGGAACTACGGAACAGAGAACAAGGAGGGAGTGAGGGAGAGAGAGATCAAAAATCGACCTAATTTTTGAAACAAAGCCGGCGTTAAGCTAATTAAAATCGGTTTTTCCGGGCCCCTTAAGCCACTGGGCAGGGCTCAGAACTTAGAAAAGCTAAGATTTTGAATGATTGATCTTGATAGGCACTCTATCATTTGAACAGGAGTCTCTGCCGGATCTGTGAAAATTATAAAGGATTTTTTTCTAAGTTCTCAGCCCTGAATTAAAAAGTTTTAAAGTAAACGCGACATTTCAAGGCGCTTTCGAATTCCCAGATAGGTCCTAAGGCCCGATCTTATTTTTCAAGCTGTTATTTCCACGTGAAAAAGTCCTATCCGTAAAGAACGCTTATTCCAAGGTCACGTCGACTCACTTCAAATTTTATCCCCAAAAAAATTGTTATTCCGCGCATCAAAGGCGCCCGTCCCAGGGCCGCGCTACCCTTTTTTGTTCAGTATTGACGGATATCGAGCAGGCTACTCATCCCGTATCTCTCTCCCTCTCTCTCTCTCCCTTTCTCTCTCTCTTTCTTATTCTCTCTCTTTTTCTCTCTCGCTCTCTCTCTCTCTTTCCTCTCTCTCCTCTCTCTTGCCCGGCTATCCGATCGGAACATATGTTGTCGGGCTGTTTTCCCAGTCTTCTCCCGGATCCACCAGCCGATCGAGAGGCGAGAGACTCAAAAAGCCATGCCCGTCAAAATTCTTGCACTACTATTCGCCCTCGTGCCATTGATCCACTCGGTCGCTGATGTTGGTTTTTTCATTTTTTTTGAGGCATTAATATGCAAATTAGTAGGCTCAAAATAGTGTTGAAAATAATAGTCTTGCCAAGTCTCCATTTCTTATTTGTTTCTCTTGTTTTGTTTCTTATACCAATCAAGCGTTAGTTTTTTGCTTTTTCATAGAAATAAGGCGTTAAGAATAATTTTTATCGGTTTGGAATTACCGAAAATCAGTTATTGTTTCGTAAAATTACTGTAAAATTTGTTTAAAAACTGTAGTAATATTGATATATTTTACGGAAGGTACTTGCACCACAAAATCCTTAATAAAGACTAACTAATCTTTTATTTATTCATTAATTAATTTATTTATTAATCCTAATTTAATTTAAATTTCTGATTATTTTAAGAGTTTCTAAAACTGAATTTTTCACGCTACTAAAAAATGCATAATAGAAAGCTACATGAAACTTTTCTAAAGCGCTTAAATTTATTGGTATTTCTCTGCCCATAAAGTCTCCATGATTGCAAAATGTTAGTCATACTCAAACAGCTGATTAAATTTCGAATATTTGAGCTATCACCAGAAATTTTAGTACATTCCAGCCATTCTTTTTTTGTCCAGCAGGTGTTAACATTTCCATCAAATTCGAGCCGGTTCCCGACGAGCTACAATGTGATGTGCGATGGCCTGCCTGCGTCGAGGGATATTACTGTAACCCGGTGTGGGTATGCTCAAGCAGGTGGTGCCCGACGGCCGGGAAATGTACTCCGATCCGACAAGATGTAAGTCTCTTTTTGCTCGTGATCCGTCTGTCCTGGTTGGTCTAACCTTGCGTAATCATGAGGTGAAGACGGTCCGGTGATTTTGGTGTAGTAATCGGTTTAGAACATTCAAAAAGCGTCAGCATGACGGAGAGAAATATCAAGGAGCAGAGAGAGAGGGCCAGGAGAGAGAGAGAGCAGAGAGAGAGAGAGAGTGAATGTGAAAGCTAGAAGGTCAGCGAGAGAAAGCAAGAGGAAACGAGAGAGAAATCGAGAGAGAAACAGAGAGAGAGAGAGAAAGTGCCAAAATCAGCGATAAAGAAAGAGAGTGAGAGTTAGATGGCGAACGAGACTGTGAGAGAGACTCAGCCGGAGAGGGAGAGCGAGAGGGAGCGAACAACAGGAGATACCCATTTGAGAGATAGCGATAGAAAGAGAGAGAGAGAGGAGAGAGAATAAGCTGCGTTTTTCTTCTGTGTCCCAAGTGATCTCTGCTACCTTACTCTCTTTTCAGGCAACCAAATGTGACCTGCACGTGAAGAAAAACCCCTGCGGACGGTACCAATTTTGCGCAAAGCTCTCTAACGAAACAGAAGGGCGATGTGCCGAATATTTCCCCAGCCTACACGAGTTGACAAAAGACAATAAGCAGCTAGGTGCATGGCAATAATAAACTCTATACATTTATTCCACCCACCCCCCACCAGACAATTCAGCACAAGCAAGCGAGCACAACGACGGAATACAATTTACATCAGGTCTTGTAGTGTCATGAGAGAAACGCCGTGGCGTAGGTGGAGCGTGTCCGCGTCTTCGAGAAGGTCGGGAATTTGAAGGCTGGAACGGATAGGTTAAATTATATTATGTAAATTTACGCATAATAAAAGGATTTTGGTACTGTTCTGTTAGCAGGGGTTTTTAGCCAGAGTAAACCCATTTTAAATGTTTCGCCTATTTTGTGATGTAGTTTTATAATTTTTGGCTAATTTTTAGTTGCTGGAAAATTATACAAAAGGAATTTTTTTGTAACATTTCAAAATTCAAGAATAACGTACTTGGATGTGCCTCCTGGAGCTCAAGAATGATCGGGCCGTAGCGCAGGTCCTGCGTCCGCTTGATGCTCGCCGCCATCGCGATACTGTTGACGCCAAGGAGCACGAGGAGGAGCCGGAGGACGATCGTTCCGATAGTTAACCGCATGCTGAAAGTGAATGATTAGGGATCACGGTGGTTCAAAAGGATAAAAAAGTTCCAGAAAAATGTTCGGGAAAGTATCTGATTAATTGGAGGTTGATCTCAGGGTTACAGTAGTCCGTGGCACTATATAGGGCCGCAGACCCAAATTTTCCAGAGAACTAAAAGTGCCAATGAAAATATTCTTTTGGGAAGAGGTACGGTAATTATGAATTTAATATGGTGTATACAGCATTTATTTCTTGGAAACTACGGTAGTTTCCAAAGCAAAATACCGGGTTCCAACGGTCAATACGGTACCCAGAGGAAGCCAAATTGTGGATAGAGAGAGGGGGAAGGATGTGATTTCGTTAGTAAATGTAGCCAGAGGAGGCCGGTCGGTTGCGTCATGTCTGAGGTACAGTAACCCTACCCCCGGCCGGAAATGGGCTACTGTACCTCAACGGCAACCCGTCCAGAAAATAGCGACCAACGGATATAAGCTGCTAACCCGCTTATAAGGGCAGATCAGGTCGGACTTTATTTAAAAACGGCGGGTAATTTGAAACGTATTTTTCGAAGAAGAAAATCTGAGGGCTTAAAAATTATAGAAGCCGGTTCCCAACGAACTGCAGGCCGAAAAAGCCGGTCAAGGTGCTTCTTACGCGCAGAAATTGAGGCTACCGTACCTAACATTGAACTTAAAGTGTTTAGCTAGTCATTATACCCGTTTAATGAAAGGCCCATCAAAACAAAGAACAGATAGAAGACCAAATACTTGTGAAATACGATGTATCCCATTATTACCGACCAGGAAAACAGGTAAAACACAGCGAAAAATTTCGGCCGGCGCGCTACAATTTATGGGCTCGCGTTTTATTGCATTTTCTGACGAGTTTGACGTAGCTTTCCGGGGAAGTGGTTTGTGTATCGAGCAAAGCAGAAGCAGAGAACACTGGGTTTTGAAATTGCCAAATTTCCGAAACACTCCGCTCTGACGCATAAGTTCCACGTTGTTTACAAACCAAACAGAACGTATGCGTTGAGTCATTTTTGTCAAGGGGTCTACAAAAACGAGTACTTCGTGGGACTGAAAGAACAAAATGTAAGTTCGGGTTCACACGAGGTGATAAAAAAGGAGTTACAAATTCTTGCTCCCGTACGTCGAAACGGCGTGTAAAGACAAAGGTTTAATGAAGAAATGTATATAAAGAGAGAGAGAGTGAGTGAGAGATAGAGAAAGATAGAGAGATAGAGAGAGAGAGAGAGAGAGAGAGAGAGAGAGAGCGAGAGAAGCCAGAGCAGGTGACAGAGAGCGTCCCCCAAGAGTTTGAGAGAGGTAGGGGAACTCGTACGAAATGTTAGCTGTAACAATCTCTTAAATACCTAGTGAAACGGAAGTACTACTAAAAGAAATATCCGGCTGCCCAGATCCTTGAATCTCCCCACTCACATAAATCCGGATAGCCTACACGACTGTCCCAAAGCCACTTGTCATGTACGGCTTAGGACTGCGCTAGAAATCCGAGAGGTGTACTAATGGAACTCCGAGTTCAAATTGACGCTTTAAGTGCCCTACATCCCCTAGGCTACAAGCTGGGCAATTATCTAGCTGTCACTGCCCCTTTAAGAAGACGGAAATTTGTGTCGACTCAAATGCGGCAAAATAAGTACCAAAAAAATAACTTATCCTGTCAGCCTATATACCCCAGCCCGCATCGCCAGATCCCGGTAGCCGACAAGTCCAGCAAGTTCAACAGGTTCAGGCGGAGCTCCTGGGATCAGAGAGGCTGAGCTCACAAGGATTTTTCTATCTTAAAACATTTCTACCCCCCTATAAGTCCCGCCCCCTGTTCGAGCTCTTGTGGTTGAAAACCCTGGATTAAAAACCGGGCATCAGAATTTTTTTGTATTCTCGTGACGCGCCGGATTTGCACCGCCATTTCGGCGTTGCTGCCCCTGAGCTGAGCCTGGGCCAAAGATTTAACGGACCGGGAAATTTGTTGCGGGGATTCCGGGCGGCTTACTGGGATTAATTGGAAATTCCTGGAAATCCTTCGAAATCCCCGAAATGTCAATGTAGCCGTTCGGAATCGGGGCTTCCGAGAGCTTTTTTGCGGGTTTTTAGCTTGTTTCTTTTTTTTTTTTTGCAGAGATCTTGACTATGAATTCCTTAAATAGAGCCTCCTAGCCAGCCTGAGCTGGTGCTCAAATTCATAAAACTGAAAAAAATAGAGTGATTTTTAAGGGCGAGGTATGGCCAGAGCAAGAGATGGATAGCGTCAGAGATATTGAAAGTGACCGAGTTAGATAGAAAGACAGAAAGAAAGCGAAAGAGAGAAAGAGAGAAAGAGAGAGAGAGAGAGAGAGAGATAAAGAGAGAGTGAGGGAGGGAAAGAGAGAGAGAGCATGAAATAAGGTGTTCCATCTGATGCGTTGCTGCCAGTTAAGTAAAGAGACAGTACGAGAAAGGCCACCGTAGCCTCCCAAAAATCGGCCGGGCAGGCAAGGCAAGGTACGGTAGGCTGAGAATACCGTATCCGCCTAATGATTTTCAACTTTATTTCAATAAATCAATAAAATAACTTTTCAAATCGGCAAGCGATGATCTACCGTAACCCGGCGCCCAGGAAAACGCCATGTACTGTAGGCGCCGGTTTTTCCCCGGAAGGCGTGAATATTCAGATTTAAAACAAAAGCAATCAGAAGCCAACGCAGAGTACTTCAGGTCCGGATTTCTTTTCCGGAAAAGTTTGCCGGCCGATTGTTTGGACCGCCCCAAAATATACCTGATCTACCCGGAAAATAGAATTTTACGCCCTTCAGTACGTCACAATCCGATTCACGACTTCCGATCAGGAGGTAAAAAAGGGCCAGAGAGAGAGAGAAAGGGAGAGGGTGAGAAAGAAAGCGTAAAAAAGCGTAAAAAGCTAATCCCATCATTGCGGGTAAGTCAGCCGGTTAGTTGAACTTTCAGGCTTTTTCGGATTCCAAAATAGTCCCCACGAGTCTGTGTTTAATCACCATTTAACCGCCGCTATGCGGCTAATGGAATTTCGCAAAATAACGCGTCAGACGTGGGGCGCATTTTAGGGTTTTCAGCGGCTGAGAGGGGCGAATAATAGCCATCAGCTGGGCAGTCGTACGGAGTAAAGTAACGGAAAATAACCTCGGGTAATCGGGTCAATTGAATTTCGGGATAGTACGACTTTTTGGCTGACCGGGCACTTGGCCGATGTGGTTTGAACTTTAGGATTTTGGGAAATTGATGGAAAAGCGTGAAAAATTTATAAAAGGGATTGCGAAGGCAGCCTTAGAGGAAAGAAAAAGAGAGGGAGAGACAGAGAGAGAACAAAGAGAGAGAGAGGGGGAGAGAGCGAGAGAGAGAGAGAGAGAGAGAATGAGAGAGAGAGAGAAAGTGAGAGCAGGCTAGACATTTTGCAGCTACAGGCGCTAGCACCTCTTTAAAACGAACGTAAGTCTCTAGCTTTTCTTGGTTTCGAAGATAGAAAAATCCTCGCTATTCCCAGCCGCACTACCGTAATCCCGCCCCATCACACGGCCCGCCATACGTTCTAATCTGCGGCCGATTAAACGCCCGTCCCCCGGCCCATCCGTACAAAATGAAAGCGCGCCTGGCGTTTCTCAATCGCCTTGGATTTACGGGAAATGAGAAATGAGAAATGGTAATGGAACTCCCAGGTGGGTGGATGAGTCGGGCCACGTCGTACGCCTGAGCTGCAAAATTGGAAATGACGACGAGTGGCGAGCGGAAATGATGTCTTTTAAGTGGAAAGTTTGGGTCGCGCGGGTTTGGTCGTTGCTGCTTAATGAGGCGGAAATGCGTACGTAGAACACTCAATAACGAGCGTTTCAAAAACTGGCATTTTCATGCAAATTTCCGGCAGTGGCGACATTTTGATAACGAAAAGCCACGTGATGATCGTGATTTCCTAGGATTTATTGGCGTAACTGCTCCTCGAAATTTCAAGCGTGAACGTGGTAAGACCAGTGCTTTTCAGCTCAGTGAAGGAAATATTTGAAAAACGCTTAAAAAACCCTTTTAAATTAAATCGCTTTCTAAATGTAAAGGTCTTATAGATTAGCGTTTCCTCCCTCGCTATTTGTTTTTCAATTTTCTTACAATTTTACAACAATTAGCTCTCTATCTCTCGCTCAATTTTTTGGCTCACTCTCTATCTCTTGCGCATTGTCTCCTCTCGCTCGTACCTCCCTCCGTCTCTCGCTCTCTCTCGTCTCTCGTTCTCTCGCTCTCCCTTTCTCTCTCTGTCTTTCGCTCTCGCTCTCACTCTCTTTCTCTAACTCTGTCTTTCTCTCTCTCGCTCTCTCTCTGTCTCTCGCTCTCTCTCTCTCTGTCTCTCGCTCTCGTCCTGGCACGCAAAATAGTGATACTGAAATCGATGGAGCCAAACCTCAACAAACGATGGCAGCCGGCGTTAAAACTCAAAAAATAGTGAAAAAATACCAAGTGCTTCTTAAAATACGCTCCGTTTCCGCTCTCAGACACCTATTTAACGCCCTCTAGAATTGCATCAACAAACAAAGGTCATCCGCCTTTAAAATGAGCCCTGGAAAAAAACTCAAACAATGGCGTGGCCATCTATCTCTGTCGGTCGGCTGGCACGGCCCAGCTACGGTAAACAATTAAAAGCGGAGGATCAGGGGCGGAAAAGCCGGGAATAGCCAAGAACGAGACAGAGCGCTTGGGAATTTCCGGAAGCTCCACCCTCATCCCGTTCAGGTTTTTGGGCCTTGGACAGAGGTGTCATTAAGGGGGTTCGGGAAAAGGCCAATCCCCCTCAAAAATCCGGGATGTTTGTGTGATGGGATGAGGGGCGGGTGGAGGCGGTGGAGGCCAGGCAATGAACTAATGAATTCCGAAACGAGACGACCGGAATCAGAAGAAGACATTCGAGACGCGGGACGACAGATGACGTCGAGGGGTGCTGAAGGTTCATTTGGGGGCGATGACCAGACACGACGAAATGGACAGCAAAGTTTAGAGAGGTGGAGCGAGAAGCATGACTCGTTGCGAACTTTGGTCTCAAGGTTACGGTATCCGAGAGGGAGAGAGAGAGAGAGAGAGAGAGAGAGAGAGAGAGAGAGAAAGGGAGCAGAGAGAGAGGGAGAGAGAGAGCGATAGAGATATAGAGAGAGGGGGAGGGATAGAGAAGGGGAAGGAAGGATAGAGAGACAAAGAGAGGTAAAGAGAGAAAAAGAGAGAGCGCGAGAGAGAGATAGATAGCTATCTAGGCGAGCGAAATTCCGTTCAGGTGTTTTTGGGATTACGGTAGTTGGGCAGCGAGGACAAGTGCCTGGAAGATAGTGAGAGACAGAGAGGGAGCGAGAGCGAGAGCGAGAGAGAGAGAGAGTTATAGAGAGAGAGAAAGCGGACGAAGATAAGAAGCTGTAAAATTGCTTATCTAATCTGCGGCTCGTTTAGGTAATCCCAGAATGCATTTGAAAGGGCATGCACGGCTCCGAAAGAATTTTCATCCAACTTCTGGTCTTGAACAGAGAACAGGTTTCAGGGATTGAGACGAATACCGTTGGGGCAAAAATGGCAGGGTATCGGCATGCCGAGAATTAGAATTCAGTTAAGCAGATCCCCAAACGCTCCGTAGCATTCCGCGTCTTTCCGGCGCAATCCGGAACATTGGTAAAGGGAGGGAAGTGCAAACGAACTACCGTAACCCTGCCAGGTGCATAAAAGGGGATTCCAAATGAGCGATTAACGAAACCTACTCTTAAAACGCCAATTCCAAGTACACAAAGGTTGACTAAATCTCTCAGAACCCCTCAACGCTACGTAACATTTTCCGGATATCCCGAGCATTCCGGAAAATTTTGGAAGGCGATTCGAAGTACCACCGTAATCCGACCAATTGCAAAAAATTGTGCCTAAATCGGGAATGGACGATCGCTAACCTTTGAATTTTGACGGGTAATATTTGCCCGAGGGTAGAATTTGAGCTCACCCGCTCGCCCCCTCAAAATGCCAAGTAACCCGAAATTAATTCGAGACCAGGCCGCGGGGCAGATCGCGTGGGTCGGCCCGTATTTTTGGCAATCTAGCAACATTTTTGGGGCCTCGGAATCAAGTCAGCTGTCACATGGGGGTTGCGTTTTTGGTCAGAGATCGCTGTCGAAATGGGACAAAAGGTCTATTCTTTCAAATGTCATTTTTATATTCGTATGCTAAATTTAGCCAGGGATGCTAAAAAAAAGGTGTGGTAGTGTAGTAAATATCGTAGGAAAGTAAGATAGCAGGGATTATTTTGGAACATACGGTTAAGAGAGTGACGTAGCGGTGTACCTTGGGGGATAGCGTTTTTTGTTCCATTTAACCATTCTAAAGCGCTAGCATCAACTAGCCCGATATTTTTAATAAAGTTTTAATTAGAGCCTTCAATAATGTAAAATAAAAAATTTATAGTCAAAGCATTCCGGCTTGGGGGGGGGTAAAGTAAACCGTAGCCAAAATTCCAAAAAGTCAAAAAATTACGTGGGCACGTGGTCAGCTAGCAGAGATTTTTGAGGAAACAGTTTTTAGGAATTTTATGAAAAAGGGGATTTTTAGGAATCTAGCCTAGGTCAAGAAGGGCAAATTACCGGAGATTATTTAGGAACAAACTCTTCGCCTGAAGCCTCTGTCGGTTTTATTCAGCCGGTCAAAAAAGCAGAGGTTCTTTGGGCATCGCCAAAATGACGGACACCAAGGGGTAAGCGAGCAAAGATCCTTGGGGAGGTGGACTTGAGCTTAAAGGGGTACCCAACCTTTCCGGGGCTCACTAAGCAAAAACCATGACGCGGGCGGGGGTCGAACCCGGGAACCCCGCTTTCAATACCTGGATGCTATCCATTAGGCCATAGTGGCAAGCCATTGGTCGAGATGGGGACGCCACAAGGGGGAGAGGATGCCGAATTCTGTGCAGCACTGGGCATCTATTACCGCACAAAATTCGCGCGTCATTTGTACTCCCCGGAATACATAACTATATATTTGCCGCCAAAACATTGGGTATCCCTTTAAAGCCTCTAACTAGCGTAAGCACTCTGGAAAAACAGCCAAAAACCGTAAGTCACGAAACGCAAGCTAGCGGAGATTATTTGAGAATCCGGCCCATCGGCCGAACCCGAGCATTTATACCCTCCGGTACGGCCCCAATCCTTAGTCACCGTGACTTACTGCCAAAATAATGGCTTACCCGGCATGCCCGAAAATTCCCGGCTAATACCGTATTTTTGGGTTCGCTTTTCCGGGGAATACTTTCGACGCGATTCTAAGCAAAATTAAAAAGTCTGGTCCTGGAAAAAACCGGCTAAAAACACGAACTATGATTCGGTAGTAAAAGCTACCGCACTTACGGCATTCGTCTAAGCGCATATGATGACAAAAATTTTCAATCAAGGCTTCTGACGCCTAATTTCAGGGCTGGCCTATCGTAATCTACAGTAATCCCGAACCCGGGGTGTCGGATGGAACGAAATTAATCCACTCATTACTACAAATCTCGCCGGGTGGGCCGTTTTCGCTGCGGGACCAGGGCACAGAAAATTTTGCGGCGCGCTTATTTCCGGGGCCGGAAGCGTGATCGCCGAAATTTGCCAAAAATACCCTGCACCCGCCCATTCTTGCGTTTTTTAGGAATTTTTTGGGTATTATTCGACAGAAGGTGTGGGTTGGTGCCTGGTACGGAGCGAGAGAGAGATAGAGAGGGAGAGATAGAGCGAGAGCAAGAGGGAGAGCGAGATAATTTTGAGAACGACATGTGATTGCCTAAAATCCAGCAAGAACCGGAAACCGGAAATTCGGCGATTAAGCTGAAAATTCAAGGGGGAAAGCGCCTGAATGGCGCCACAGCAGACACTAGACACGTATAGTATTTTGTAAATATTTGGCTAGGGGTACGGTAGCTGGATAATGACGAGAGGAAAATTTGCTATTTTGTGTCCCCACAGCAGGCGAATTAGTGAAAATCCGGTTAGTATTTTGGATGGACTAGGGGTACGGTAGGTGGGCGTAGGCGGTAGAGTGACGAGTGTTTATCACTATTTAGTGCGGTAAACGGAATTAACCAAAAATCAGGAGAGGGAGAGCGAGAGAGAAAGGGAGAGAGGGAGCGAGAGCGAGAGAGCTGGAGAGAGGTAGAGAGGCAAAGCGAATGAGAGAGGGAGACAGAGACAGAGCGAGAGAAAGAGAGACAAACAGAGTGAGAGAAAAAGAGACAGACAGAGCGTGAGAAAGAGAGCCAGAGAGAAAGAGAGAGAAAGAGAACGAGCGAGAGGGAAAGGGGTATGGATAGCTGAGAGAGAGAGAGAGCGAGAGAGAGTGAGTGAGTGAGTGAGAGAGAGTGTCCGGTTTTAATAAATACAGTACCCGTGAATACATAACACTTCTCGAGTCCAACCATTTTATACCAAAAACTTCCCGACTTTCCTTGCCGTTCCAATCCGAAACCCGTGATCCGGCACGTTGAAAACATTCGCCGTTTTTTGACGCCCTCACCCCATTTCATCTCCCATTTGGCCGCCGGCCAAGAAAACCCCATTCACGTGACGAAAAATGCATATTTAATCACGCTTTCAGAAAAACATTCTGCTTACGAGGGCGTGTAGGGAAAAGTAGATTATCCGCAAAAAAATCCGCAAAGTTTCGCGGATTACGGTAGCGGATGTTTGTCATGTTTTTCAAAGTACGGGACTTGTTTTTAATCTGCAAAAATGTCAGGTCATTTTTTTGATGTCTGAAAATGAGAAAAATAATGTTCACTTTGTTGGCCGGTGGCCAAGTGTATTTTTGTGGAGAATTTCCAGAAAATTGTTTTGAAGACGGTGCTCAAAGAAGCCGAGCATTTGCCGTCAGATCTGCTGAGGTTGTGCTAAAAAAACAATACCCTAGCAGACCGCAGTCGAGTCCGATTTTCACGATTTAGCTATCGATCGAAAGCTCTTAAAAACGCGAAAAAACAGACGAATGTCGTTTTTCCATATTTAATTTCTTCGTATCGGGTTTTCTAAAAAACCGTTGATTTTTCGTCAGGAATTTCGCAATTGGCATGCAGAACTTGCCTAAATCAGCAGTTTTCAGGGTTTTTGGACGTAAAATAAGCAAATAAAAATACAGAATCATAAAAATGAAGCCTCCTGGTTGGCTCGCCTTTTCGAGAGCTTTCGAATAGGTACCTAAATCGTGAAAATCGGACTCGACGGCGCACCGCTAGGTGGGTAGGACACACTGTGTTTAGAATTGAACTCAGCAACCTGCCAAAATTAAATCAAAACGTAATTCGAAAAGTGTTTAGGGCACATTGCCGGAATACTGCAAAGAACGTAAAAGTAATTTATTTTCGGGTTCCGCCCTCGTCAGGTCTTCTGATAAATAATGCCTCAAATCTTCGCGGCCACCCTCTCGTTCTCGGCCACCGAAAATCGGGCCAGGAACCGCTCGAAGAACGCGATCGTCTCGGGGGTCATCTGAAAAATTCATAGAATGAAATTAAGGGTTTTTAGGCCCGTGAAAACTGGAAAATATTGATATCATCCTATTTTATTAGGTCTTCAAACAACTTTTCGCTTCGGGAATTAGTTTGTAATTTTTGTGCTTTTCAAAGATCCGGCAAAATCATTAAGCAAAAAATTGTTTTCGCGCTGATGTAATTCTCGCGAGACCCGGGTTTAAAATAGCATGACAACGGCAATACAGAAGTTCTACTTTTTTGTATCATCCTGGATTTGGAAATGAATGGCGGAGGATCTGTAATCTGGAATGATCCGGAAAAAAATTGTTTCCGGGGCCAGAAAGGCAAACACCGATTTTGGTATCGATAAATCCTTGTGAAAACCGATATTTTTGTCAAAATTTAGCAAATTTGGGATCATTTCCCGACCTTACTATTAGGCCTTTTCCAAGTTACGACAACATTAGTCAAAACAGCCGAAAAATTGTTGTTTTTTTTGCTATCTGACGTAATTCTCATGAGATTCTCACGCGGATTTTGTCCTTAAAAGTCTTTCAAAAATCATAATTTCCTTGAAAATCCTTTAAAAATTCTTGCCGAAAGCCCGTGCAAACTAATAATAAATTTTTCGTACACACTGTCGTCCAAATTACTGTAATTTCAGGTGACGTCTTAAATTTTCCGTTTTTTTCCTCGGTTCATGTTTTCCAAAACTGCACTTTGCTGTTTTAATCCTCCAGTACTGACGAATATCATCGATATTCGATTGAGTGCCCTCCCCCCACCCACGCGCCCAAAAAATCTCGACCAATTAAAGACCGTCAGGACGATGAAATTCCGTTGAAAGCAAGAAAGTTGTGCACCGGGCGGGGGTCGAACCCGCGAAGGTTCGCTCCACAGTCCGACGCGCTACCCACTATACCACGGGGCCAAGAGGGTGAGGGAGACAGAGACGTCCCAAACCCGAGAGGGCCTTTGCCCAGTACGAGGCACCACTAATGACGCCTCTCTCCGCGCGTTCTTGGGGGGCCCACCCTTGGGGTGACAGTGCGCGTTCCATCGTTCGGGTTGTCTTTAAGCTTCTTGGGACACCGGATTGCCTTATATTCCTGGACAATTTCCTATTTTTCTAATTTCGATGGCTACAGTAAGCTCTGGTTTTGGTATTTGGAGTTATTTCCACCGCCTACACAACGCCATAAAAAGGTTAATCCAATTAGAACGGGCAGGGTTTTCTGGGCCTCAAATTTCCGATTCTGGCCCCCGACCTTTACCACAGGAAATTGGCCCACCTCCAGAAAGTGGCTGCCACCAGGTACGATTTTCAGCTCGACATCCGGGGAGCTGAACTTTTCGGCTAGGCGAATCGAGTTTTGGTGGGGGACTAGCTGCAAACGGCTTCAGTGGCTCTTTAAAAATTTGAAAAATTCTCAAAGGGCAAATTACAGATGAAGAATTGCAGCAAATGCGAATTACCGGGTCTTTATCGCCATGAAGGATTGAAATCGGGCAATCGATTGGGATTGGGCCTTCTCTTCTTGAAGCGCAGGTCTAAAAATTGCTGTGAATGTACCTTTAAGGCTAGGAAGACAAAAAAGAGATAGAGAGAGAGCGAGAGATAGAGAGAGAGAGATGAGAGAGATAGAGAGAAAGAGAGGGAGAGAGAGAGAGAGAGAGAGGGAGAGAGAGAGAGAGAGAAAGAGGGGCGGAGCTAAAATTCTGAACGTACTTCCATAAATTGCTTTAAGCCCACTAGGTCAACCAGCGCTTCATGGCCATTTCTGGAGGCTGGATGGATTATCTAAAGAAATGGAGATCATCCAAAAAAAGAATTCTCTTACACTGCCTCCATTTTCCAGTGTTTTCTTAGCTCCAGGTTGAACCGTTTCAATGTATCGCAGGTCCAGGGCCGATCCTGGGGAAAAGAGGAAGAGGCCCTAAACAAAATAATATGGTTTTTTTGGTCTAATAATTAAAACAATTTCGATCAGCACGCTCCAAAGCAATAATCTATTAGCTGCAATCTTTACCTTTACATGCTTCGACCGGCTGATAGCTGCATTAATGGCACAATGGGCGCCCGCGGAACTGGCAATGAGAATCCATTCATCGTGCTAAATTTAAGCTTTCAAAAATTTCAATTCAAAATCAATGGTGTGTTTAGTATAATAAGTTACTTGGCCGCTGTTTATGAACATAAACTGTTTCTTATGCAGTGATTTAACCGCTAAAGCGTTACTTTTATCCGATTCTCAATATCCTCGCGCCACTCGCTAATCCGCCACGGCTTGGTGTGGCTGCCTGGGTTACGGTAGTTGAGTCTAAAAACCGAGAAGTATTATAAAAACTCGTAGAACTTACAGCTCCACATGATTCCCAGTACCAGCAAAATATTTGGTCAAAAACTGCGCTGTCCTGTTCGTTGTCGACGAGCCAAGGCCATGGCAGTACAGGATTTTGTAGGCTAGCTTCATTTACGGTGTTTTTATAATTCTAAAAATTTCCTGTAGTTTTTAGAAACCGAAACCGACTAACAAGTTGAAAAACATAATCGAAGCATTGATGACTTAGGAAAAGTATTTTAAAACCTATAAAAAATGTTGTAACGTAGTACTTTTCGATTTGTCTGATTTATCCAGATCAAAAATGCAAAAAAGGTTCTTTAGGATTGCCGGGGGGGGGGAATCAAATTTTTCTCCTGATTTTCCCGGTTGACCTAGTAATCAAATATAAAATGTTTTCACATTGTTTTTAGTAAATTTTAACTATATTTAAAGTAGAAAAACCTTTCAAAAAAGTTAGAAAACTGTTTATAGGAGTCGAAAATTTAGTCATTTTGGGTCTTCCCCCCCTCCCCGCTAATCCTAAGGGTTCTATAAGATTTTTCGACCTAAAATTAAATTTTTTAATTAAAATGTGGGTAGCTTTTATGCTCAGGAATAGTTAAAAACCATTTAGAAACACATACGCTATTTAGAAAAAAAGTTAGGCTTGGGCCGAAAACATTTGGTCCCCCCCCCCCGGAAATCCGAAAGAACCGCAAAAAATACAAAGAAAAATAAAGAAAATCGAAGATTCAAACTAGCCTCCAAACCAAATACAGCTGACCGCTGCTGACCGGACTGAAAAGAAAACCGGGCGCTCTCGTGCTGGCTAATCAGGAACCGGGTCAAACCCTCTGGCGGGGAGGGGGGGGAACACCCCGGGCTGCGAGTGCAAACTACAAACAGGGCGAGCCTAGAGTACGTTTTTACACGAAAACACGAAGAAACGCCTGAACTTACTGTATTAAACTCTTTATTCTCAAGAACAACAACAAAAAAGTCCTATAGTATACTCTCTTAAAAAAAATATAAAAAAGTGATTGTAAAAAACAACGATCAAATCTGTTAAGAGGCTAAATAAATTTAGAATATATTCTGCTGATCGATGGATTTTTTCATATATTTCACATCTTTCCATTCTTCATCTCAAGTAGCGCGGCTCGTCTGGCTTCACCTAAAAACAACGGAAAAATTTAACTTAGAAGGCATAATATAAACCATCCTACTCGTTTTTATATAAGCTTTGAATAAATGATATAATATATACTCTGAACGGATTGTTTCCGCGTCTGTCTGTTGGTCGCCCTCTCACTCGCTCTCTCTGTTTCTCACTCTCTCTCTCTCTCTATCTCTCTCTCTCTCTCTCTCTCTCTATCTCTCTCTCTCTCTCTCTCTCGTGCGTTTCCGAAACCCATCAGGCCGCCAGCCAATCAAAAACGAAAAGCCCTGGAAGATCCTCATTTTTTTTCTCGGTTAGCTCCTTGGAAAAATTGCTCTCTACGACTGGTTAACTAGCAGTGAAAACGGTTTCAAACCCAGTTCAAAAAAATTTATTTTCTAGCACTTTGGCACCCAATGATCTGCGTCACTCCTTTTCCAATTTATTCAGCTCCATCTCGTGCTTGCTCTCGTCTAAAATGTAATGGATTTTTCACTTGAAAATTCCGCTACATTGCTTTCGGCGTTTTCGCTGCTGGAGGTGCCTGTAGAGGACGTAGAAAATTTCGAGTAGTGAGGCTACGGAGACCCCAATGAACAGTCCGAGGGCACCGCCGACGTCACCTGGAATTGGTGTTGCTCTTTCTCTCTATCTCACTCTCTCCCTCTCTCTCTCTAAGTCTCCCTTCAACCTACAAGCCAAACTCCAAAAAGTATATTGCCACTTCTGAGTCCATTTCTCGATCGTATTCGATCTGATGTAGATGTTGACAATTGCCATGTTTTGCCTAAAAACCGTGTCCATTAAAAATAGCAATAAACTTCTTGAACTCGTCGTCCAGCTTGAATTTGTTGTGGTATCGTTTGAGATGGTCGGAGAAGGCGACGTGGAAGGATTTCTAATCTTGTTGCGATTACTCTGTCGTTTTGTTCTCTCCTCAGCCCCTCTCTCTCTCTCTCTCTCTCTCTCTCTCTCTCTCACTACCCACCAAATAATCCAAATAATTGTATTCGAGGCCGGCTCTCAGGTTATCGAAAGCCGAGATCAGCTTCACAATGCAATCCTGGTTTTTGGCCGCGACCTCGTCCAGCGTGCCGTTGGTCAACAGGCTGTCGTTGTTGCTGTGGGCTTCCTATGCGGAGTGACGGCAGTCAGGCTTGGCGCACCTGCATCGCGTCACCAATAGCATCGATGTCGTGGAGAAGAGCCGTCCAGGCGTCGTCCAGCAATTTGTCGATCGGCTGTCGCCAATGCTAGGAATGTATTTTCGACACACGCTTTCAGCCTCTCACACACTTTTTCTCACTCTCTCTTTCTCTCGCTATTTCTCTCTCATGCTCTCTCTCTGTCTTGCTCTCTGTCTCTCAAGCCGTACTTTTGGGAATTTGTTGTCGAACAAGTAGTCGAGATTCACGGCATCGACGAGGAGCGCAAATTGGTCTTTCGTCGACTCTCCCAGCCACCACTAAAACATATGGCGATCACATTGAGTGGTAGTGTCACGTGGTAATGCAGACCTCGAATTTTCAGAATTTCTAATTTACAGAATCCCGATTTTCCATCGGCTCAATCAACATTAGGAGCTCCAGTAGTTGTACGCCTAAGCCTTACCTCCAGCTTATAGAAATTTCGATATTCTCAACATTCCAGGTTATGAAACTACGCGTTAAAACAAGCTTACGTTGTCGTAGCCTTGTTCGAACAGCTCCAACGACTTCAAATCCCGCCAGTTCACGACGGCCGACAAGTTCGTGAGCAAGAACGCGCGTCCCTGCGTCCCGTTCAGCCGTTCGTCGTCCCAACCATGCGGTACCCATTCCTGGAAACAGCGAAATTTGATCCAGCGCACATCTACAACTCACCATACACACTGGGTCGGGCCCGGCTCTTTTGCCGGCGACCCTCGCTTCGAGGCGTTCCTTCAACTCCTTGCCCTTCAGAAGGGCCAGGGGCGTCTCGTCGACGATCCGGGCCCGTGCGGTCGTACCGGCTGTCGTTCGGGTCCGTGTCGTTAGGGTTGCGAAGTGGAAAGCCCAGTTTCTTCAGGCTAAACTCATATTATAAGGAGCTTAGGATCTAAGCCGTAGCTCAGCAGATGCAGCCAAGCCAAAGCCTAAGAAGCAGTGTGGGATGGCCAAGGAATAGGCCTAAGCCTAAGCCTAAACTAAGCCGACCCTAAGCGCAAGCTTAAGCCTAAGTCTCCACCCACTTATTTTTTGCCTCATAAAAATTGTCGGCCAGATGCTTGAACTCGCGCTGCTCGACGTCGTCGTACCGGGACCGCTTCTCCATCACGTCATCCATTCGGGCGCGCAGCGCCGCCACCAAAAAATGTCGGGATTTTTTAGGCGTGGGTGCTTTCGCCAACCTGTTCGGTGGTCAGAAACCCAGACTTTTCGCAGTCGACGGGCTCCTCCTTGAAGATGCGCTTGCCGTCTGGGCCCACACCAACAAGCCGTTGCTGAATGGTGGTGATCTAGGAAATCTGGTATATAGGTATGTAGGTGTATTTCCTGACGTTAAAAAATCTAAAAAGATCTAACCCTTTTATCGAAAATCATCGACGACATCAGGTTTTTCGGCAGCTCACTGGTGTCCTAGAACGGATGCAAATTTTTGTTTGATTTTCCAGGACTTAGGGTTTGGCTTCGCAGACTTACCTTAGCATGACTTGGGGTTTAGCTTCGGCTTAACTGGCTCAAGGGTTAGGCCGGGCTGAAGCTTCTTTTAGGCATTGCTTAGCTAGGCTTAGCTTAAGCTTCGGTTTAAGCCTAGCTGATGCTTAGCTTAGGCTTAGCTTAGGCTTAGCTTGGGCTTGGCTTCTGTTTGTCCTAGGCTTAACCTTACCTGCTGCGCTAGAAATTCCACTTGCTCACAAGTAGGTATGCATTCCGTTTTCGTGCGGTTTTCCGTCAGCGCGGCAATACTGAGACGCACAACGTGTTTTACTAATCAGAATCGCCTTACTTTTTCTGTACATACAATATGCAGGTAAAGTACTGCTCAACGTCGCAGATATCACCTTCCGGGATTACTGAAAAATGCTGTTCCGTAACACATCTATAGAGATACCTTCCAGTCCGGTGTACAAATGACGGAACGTGCAGTTGCAGCTCCGCTCGAATTCCTCGTGGTAGATTCGACCATGGCAGGATCTATGGAATAGCAATGATTAATTATCATGAGTGGTAATTTTAATGTGTACTACCGTATATTGTTGCCATTGAAATAGTCATTAGCTGCGTCCAGCGATTCTTGGGTTTGGACGCGACATCCGGTCCCAGGAAGTTTTGTGCGCTGAAAAACGTATTTTAGGAGCTGTCAGAGAAAGAGAGAGCGTGCGAAGGAGAGAAAGAGAAAGAGAAAGAGGGAGCGAGCGAAACAGAAAGAATGAGAGAGAGAGAGAGAGAGCGAGAGAGACAGAAAGCTCGCGATAGATAGAGAGACTCACATGTACAATTTTCAAGGGTATATTTGTCGATTGCCCTGGAGCCACGCTAATCCCACTAGCCGTCGAGACGGGAATCTCGGTCTGGTTGTAGACGAGTACCTAAAAACATTGAGATACCCTCGAAACTTCAACAGATACCTTAAACCCGTTTTCTGCTTGCATATTCCCGGGCACCCCACATGTCAATGGACGGTCGTAACTTTCCGCGTTGAGCACGAGCTTCAACCCTTGGCTGAGTCCTAGGGGTGCAGATTCGGGTCTTTCTCTCTCTCTCTCTCTCTCTCTCTCTCTCTCTTTCTCGTTCTTTCTCCCTCTCTCTCTCTCTCCCTCACCTCCTCTCTCTCGCTAACCTGGCTGCTCAATCACCAAGCGGTCATCTCTAGCGTTGTTGAACGCCCAGCACAACCCATTAATGGTCCAAATCAATTTCCACATCTTTGGGTTGCACTCGGTGCCGTTGGGGAGGTGGCAACTAAAACCTTGTGATACCGATACCTTAACAACCACTTACGATAAGATAGTAGCCTTAAGTGGAGGCAGGGCTTCCCTCAGAAATTTATCCGCTGGCATGTCCCACAGAGAAACGATCGCCGAAAATTCGAAATTGTTTTTGTTCTGATTTTATTTTCTTGTTCTTTTCTTTATCGTCGTATTTTGGATCTCGCGTAAGTTTAAATAATTTTTCCCATGAAGTTAGGCATTTAATCATTTTTTTAGTATTTAAGCAGTCAGGACCGTCTTAAAAAGCGGCCAGCCAAACTCGATATCGCGTTCCTCCGGGTAGCGCTCCAGAATATCTTCGGTCGCCAAGTAGCCCAGGCTGAAAGAGGCAGTGAAACGAGGAAGAGCGAGTGAGAGAGAGAGTGAGAGAGGGAGAGAGAGCGCGAGAGGGATTTTAGCGGGTGATAACAAACCTGTATTGATTATTATTACAAATTGCGATAGCGGGAAAGAATATCTTCTCAGGATACTCGGCCTCAATGTTGGTCACTACCGGGTATTCCAGGAAGTCTGCTAACTAAAAACCTATGAAGAATCCTTCGAAGTGCCAAGAAAAAATTATAAATTAAAGTGCTTTTGTAGAAGAGTCGATTTTCACCATTTTTGAGGCAAAATTAAAAGTTAAATCAATTAAAAGAATCTAGGACTGAGAAAAGAAAAATAATTTGTAAGCTACCTGACTCTGAATCTGATAAATGGTGAGGGCAATGAAAAGGACGACAACTGCGCCCCAGATGCATCTAGAATTTTGCTTTGCTGACATTTTCTAGGCATCCAAACCTGACAGCCACATTCTTCTCCTTCAAATATTTCAGCCCGGTCAGCTGGATATCATCGTAGAGGTCTTTGGCTTCATCTTTTTCCACCATCTCTAAAAAAATCGACGATGGTTGAGGATGGTAATATTGAGGTTTTCGCTATCGTCGCTTTAGACGTTCCGATTGGCTTTGGCCATTCCACAAAATTACGGATTTTCCATCAAACAATTAAACAAATAGAAATATGGGCTTAAGTGCAGTTTACCCCCCCCCAGCCTACCCCCCACCCTACCGTATCTCGGCTCCCTGTGCATCTACAGGTGTATAAAGTGTACCACAATACTCGCCAGCGCAAGGCGAACATTTTCGTATACTTTCCACACCTGTAGATGGACAGGGAGTTGAGATACAAAAGTTGGGATGGGCTGGGGGGAAGGGGGGATAAACTGCACTCTAACCGAAATATGAAATTGCGCATTCGAGCAAATCAAAAAGTGCCGTGAGTTCTGAGACATTCGTGTTGTGAGTCCCGAAACGTTCCGTCCCAAAAAGTAGCAAGAGTTCCCGGATCCGCGAAATCGCTCCCATAAAATTGATAGTTCCGCCTGTGCTGCTGTTTTTTGCTCATTTCTCCGTTCGCGTGGATTTTTGGGTGGCCGGAAATCCAAGGGATAGATGGATTTCGTGGTGTCTGTTTTATCGATTTTATCAATCGAATACAACAAGTAGAACATTGTGCATATTGGAATTGAGCAAATTCAACAATTTATCACATTAGCATACCTAGGTCCCATAAGCGGCTGTGAGTTCCAAAAATAAAAATTAGAATATCAGAGTTCCAGATTCGGCTTGCCGGAAATAAAAATTAGAATATCAGAGTTCCAGAATTGGGTGAAGGAACCGGAACAGTACGAGATACAACAAGTGCAATGTTATGCGTATTATATGGTGTGATTCAACAATTTATGATTTATTCTAAGCACATATTCTAGAAATAAATATTTTTTGCTGGCTACTCCTTTCGGCCATTCTTCATCTCCAGCGCGGCGATGCGGGTTTCGCCTAGAAAAAGGGCGATTTGATAGAAAGAGCGAGAGTGGGAGAGAGAGAGATCGAGAGAGAGAGAGACATAGATCATGAACTACATTGTTTTCGCATTTTCCGGTTATGAAGATGTTGGTAGAGCACGTAGAAGATTTCCAGAAGAGAAGCTACGGACACTCCGATGAACAGTCCGAGGGCACCGCCGACGTCGCCTGGAATTCTTTTTCTCTCTCCTCCGGCTAGCTCTCTCGATCTCGCTCTTTCACTCCCTCTCTCTTTCTCGATCTCGCCCTCCCCAACTTACATGCCAAACTCCAGAAGGTATACTGCCATTTCTGCGTCCATTTTTCTATCGTATTCGATCTTATGTAGATGTTGACAATTGCCATGTTTTGCCTAAATTTTTAATACGTTTTTCAAAGTTTTAGAGCTACTTCTTGAACTCCTCGTTGAACAGGAATTTCTCGCGGTACAGCCGGAAGTGCTTGGAGAAAGCTTCGTCGAAGGTTTTCTGAAAGGAGGAGCTGTTCTTCATGATGATTGGAGAGAAAGATAGAGACAGAGAGGGCGAGGAAGGAGAGGAGAGAGGGGGAGAGAGAGAGAGAGAAAGGGAGAGAGCGAGAGAGATCTAGAGCGAGAGATAGGGAGACCAAACATACCGAGAACTCCAGAAAACCAGCTTCGAAGCTGTTGTGCAGCTCCTCCAAAGCGTTGTCCAGCTGGGCTACGCAACTTTCCGTCAATTGACGATCCACTTCTGGGATGCTCATTCCACTGCTGTTGGCCGCACGGCCGTTCTGAATTGATTGAAATTTGGCTTGGAGCGCGTTGTAATCACTATTATGGCACGCCGGAACACACCTGTAGACGCAATAATGGTGGAGACCCAGGCCACTCGTAAGGTTATCAAATTTTTCACCTACCATGACGTCTTCGATGTATTGTACTTTGTCCGTCGCCAGCGCTCCTTGCGTTTCCGTTAGAGATCATCGATTGGTTGATGCCACATCTAAAACCGACGAAGGTCTCTCGCTCACTCTCTCTCTCTCTCTCTCTCTCTTTCTCTTGATCTCTATCTCTCTCGCTTTCGCACTCTCTCGCTCTCTCTTTCTCTTGATCTCTATTTCTCTCGCTTTCGCACTCTCTCGCTCTCTCTTTTGCTGCTCTTCTCTCTCTCTCTCCCTCTCTCCCTCTCTCCCTCTCTCTCCCTCTCTGTTACCTTTGGAAAATCATGCTGAAAGATGTAGTCGATATTCAAGAACAAAAACGCATCAGCAAAGAGGTACTTCGTCTGACCAAACGCTTGATACTGAAAAATTTTCTAACCTTGCGGTCACAAAACCACTTACATCTCTCAACGCGTTGTTAAAGGTATCGAGCCGCTCCAACCGCTTCCACTTGACGACATCACCAACATTCGTGTTCAGTAACTGTGCCAGTTTTGTGCCGTTGGAGAATTCGTCGATCAAGCCTGCTTGTAGCCAATCCTAGAAATCGGTCGTATCGAGGCGTAGGAGGGCAGGGATTGCACAATTTTTCGATCATTTAGAATTCGTACCCCGGGGGTCAACTTTTTTCGGCGCAAGTCTAGATTTTCTTACGAATAGCGGATGCGTTTCTACCTTGTTTTTCGCTATTCCTAAGCCTTGACACTTTACAAATTTTACTTAAAAATTTAATTTAGGTCGAAAAATTGATTTTTTTCGAGCCGCATAGCCAAATCGTCGACTTTTCACGGACTTTTTTAACTTTTTTGAACGTTTTTCTACTTTAAATACAGTTGAAACTTCAACACACTTCATATGTATTTGATTGTTAGGCCAACCGGGATCGCCAGGAAAAAATAAAATAATCGATCCAACCTAGAGTGCCGAAGACCGCTTATTATTATTTTCTAATCTATTTCAACTTGTTTTACTTTTTTTTGCCTGCTTTTATTACAACGGTTTGTATGTATCTTTTCAAGTTTAATTTTCAATCTAAACCGATCGAAAAACCGTAGTTAGTAGATGTATTTTGGCATCACCAAAAGTAAACTTCTTACTCTGCACGGCGCAAACTTCTCGGTCCAGTACGCCGCCGCATCAATGACGGTTTTGGAAAAATTTCGCTCAAGCGGATCGACGGGGAGACCTTCGTCTCTCATCCTAGACTTTGGGATTTTTGAAAGTCAGATAAAAAGCTTTTTCTTAGAAAATGACAGAATGAAAACCTTATGGCCAAGAAATAATGCGTACGTCTAAAGAAACGTCTAAGTAAAAAAAAACCTACACGCCTTTGGTGTACATGTACGCATTGATGAGCTCCTGGAACTCTCTCCGATCCAGATCCTCATAGCGGGAACGTTTTTCCATGATATCTTCCATACGGGCCTTCAGGCCGGCTACCTAAAGGTAAAAATCTAAAGTTTATGTGATCCGAATAGGCTGTTTTTAAGTGCAATGCAAAAACCTGTTCCGGCGTCAGTTGATCCGATTTTTCGCAATCCACAAACGTCTCCCGGTACAGGCGATCGCCATTCTCGTCGCGCCCAATCACTTCCTGGCGCTGGGTTTGGATCTTAAAGAGAAGGCTTACAAAAGTAACCTCGCTTTCCACTTCTACGTTTCCTTAAAAAAATTTACTGACCAAATCGTGCCAATACACCTTGTCGTGGGGCAGCACGTGTTTTGGCAGCTCGCTGAGGTCCTAAAACCAACGGCAAAATTTTTGTAGCTTTCAGAAAATTAGTACCTGCTGCGCTACAAACTCCAATTGTTCGCAAGTCGGCAGACACTCGTGCTTCGTCCGATTTTCCGTGAGAGCGGCAATTCTAGGAAAGATTAGCTAAATTTTTTAGGTCTAACAGCTCTTTTTCTCTGTGTTTCTTCATCAAGCCGGGGTTTTTTCCATTTTCTACTGTAAATTTTACGGCTCAGTCGGACCAAAAATCCCTACCCCTCCTGAATATACCGCACGCATCCAAAGTACATCTCCACATCACAAATGTCGCCCTCGGGAATGACTAAAATTATCGTAATTCGGTATCACTCCTCTAAACGCACTATCCAATCCGGTGTACAAATGACGGAAGGTGCAGTTGCACCGAGTCTCAAAAGCCTCGTGGTAGATGCGGCCGGCGCAGGTCCTAGAAATCAACATAGGGTTCGCATTCCGCATTAATCTTTAAACCCGATAAACCATTACTTGCCTTATATTCTTGTCATTAAAATAATCATTAACCGCAGCCAGCGATTCTTTGGTTTCGACGCGACAGCCCGTGCCTGGCAGTTTTGTTCTCTAAAGTCATATATTTTAAACGACAGTATTTCTCACTCTCTCTCCCTCTCACTCCCTCTCTCTCTCCCACCACTCACATGCACTATTCGGAGCGGAATGTTGGTTGAAACCCCCGGCGTTACACTGACTCCAGTAGCGGTTGAAACTGGTAGATCGGTCTGGTTGTAGATTAGCACCTAGAAACGTACATTACTGTACTTCAGAAATTAGTTACCTTAAACCCATTTTCAGCTTGTGTATTCCCGGCGGCTCCGCAAGTCAGAGGACGATCGTAGCTCTCAGCGTTGAGCACGAGCTTGAGGCCGTGGCTTGGCCCTGGAGTTTACGGTCTTTTGCAATCTCTCTCTCTTTCTCTCTCTCTCTCTCTCTCTCTCTCTCTTTCTCTCTCTCTTTCTCTCTCCTTCTCTCTGTATCTTTCTCACTGTCTCTCTCTCTCACTTACCTGGCTGCTCTATCACCAGCGGAGCGTCCCTATCATTATTAAAAGCCCAGCACAGCCCATTTATGGTCCAAATCTGTTTCCACATATATGGATTGCAGTCACTGCCGTTAGGAAGATGACAACTGGGAAGTACAAATATGCAAACGGCCTAACGTAACCGCTTACGACAGGATCGTAGCATTAAGGGGAGGAAGGGCTTTTCTGAGGAACTGATCAGCAGGAACGTCCCACATTGTCAGTTAGTATACTTTCGCCAGCCACCTGTGGTACCACCCCAGGGGTGGCTGGAGTGTGGTGGCGTGGGTGGCTGGGGGGGTGGTCGGGGGTGGTTGG